AACGGTAGCGGAAATGACGTAACGGTAGCGGTGGTATGAAAAGCCCACCCACTTGAAGATGTCCGATGGAGATATGTGGAAAAGCACGCGTACTCGACCGGGTCGTGACGTGTCGTGTAGAGTGGTGTAGTGCCGGTGCTGTGGAAAAGCGCTATTAGTCTATATAGGTGCCTCAAGCCTCCCGTCTAAATGGGAGGAGGAGGGGGGAGGGTAGTGATTTGCGGCCTGTGATATCAACTGCTTTGTTCAAAATAATTGATTGAAAGAAATATTGCATCATATACATACAAAGTTTTTTAATTGTAAAACTGTTAAGTGAAAGTAAGCCATTTCTGGCAAAGTCCACTGGTCTCGCCACTTTTCATATGGATCCAAATCTCCTGATTCTCAAAGGATCTTGCCTCAGATTACTCCACTGTGTCAATATACTTAACGCGGTCAGTGTCCGACTTCATGGCTTTAGATGACATGGGGACAAATGTTCTGTGACAAATTATCCATGACAAATGATACGTGCAATAGACACCAGACTCTCGATGTGGCGTTCGCGCTAAGCATCATGGGTAATAGGCACATGATGGAAAACCATGTATAGATAACGTGAATGTTGGCATAAGTTACATTTGAAGGTTCCAGTTTGCTTTGTTTCCGGTTACATTGACGGTGTGAGTGTTTGTTCCTGGTCTGGTTTGGTCCCTTCAGAGTAAAATGGAAATGATTTAAATTTTAGATCTCACTTTTTGCTCAATGTTGTAGGTAAGCGACAACAACACAGCATTGCATAGCATTTATAACTAGTGTAGTTACATGAAATGGCTAATTTAAAGAAATGTGTGATTTGAGCCGAAATTCTGTTAACGTGAATTTTCAGGAACTACTCTGTGCGTTAACCTGCATACATGATATACTATCAACAACTATGACAATCTTGTCAACTAAGAACCTTTCTACTACATGCCAATGACATTATTAGGAAACATCACTTGGAGCCTTTCAAGATTCTTTATTAGAATTGATGGAAAATCTGTGGCAGATCAATAACAAAGGCTAACATAGTTATAATGTAACTGTAGCGTCCAGTTGAGTGTGAAGTTGAAGCCAGAACTCATGGTTATAATGAAGTTTATTTTGTCCTTCCATATAGTCATATAACTAACGTAAGAGCTAGAATAGAAATGAAAAATCACCTTACAATCTTGTCTTATTCCGATCTAGCATTAATTACATTTTTAACCGTTACATTACGTTTGCTATTATTTTACACATTTAAAACAAACTTGACAATTGTTACACAAATCAATCCATACCTTGTTCCCTCGATCTCAACCGTAGATAAACTTTGTTTTATATTCCATATTAGTGCTGTTTCCTATGACCTTTTGTCTGTTAGACTGGCTGTTTGATTGTAACGTCCATACACTTTAACATTTCTCAGTCTGATAGATCCATGGTCTGATGTTGCGCGAGCCACTTGACTTCTGGTTGAGACAGGAACTGTCAAAATAAAACATTTTCCTATTGTTATTAATACATCAACTTTTACAGTAATGTTCATGCAGGCCTACTATTAATATAAAGGCTAAGCAATGATACCATGTATTTGTGTGTCTGCGTGTTAGTCATTGAACCTTGAGCGTATTTTATATATTCTCTGCTTCAAGAATTGCTATAGTTTATAAATCCTTGTATTTCTTCACAGAATTTCTTGCTTTTTCTTTCTCTGTATTTCTTGTTCAGTTGGTAGAGCATTGGCCTTTAGGCCTGAAGGTTGTGGGTTCAATTCCCACCTCGCCACCTTCTCCGACTCCCACTGATGTCCACTGTCGTTGTGTCCTTGGGCAAGACACTTAACCCCACATCGCCCAAGAGCAGCCATACTCCTGTGGACTCGCCTCCTGCAGGAGGGTCAGTGAGGGGCTGGTGCTATGTGACTTGGGTGGCAGCTCTGATTGTTACCCCCCCGACCCAGAAATGGATTAAGGGGTAGAAAATAGATGGATGGATGTTTGTTACAGTTGCTATACTAATGAATACTAACATGTTATTTTCTTATTAACCATACCTTTGTTTCCTGTAGTGTCTGTTAAGATCAGGACTCAGGAGATCTCTCCCCCGAGGCTGTCAGACTGCTTAATGAACACTGACCCCCTCCTCACCCCCACTGATTCCCATTATCCTCCACTTTTAAATATCTGCCATAACTTAACTGGTTTTGCATGGTTGTTGATAACATACTCACTTAACCATGCATGGCCAGTTAAATTATGGCAGGTATGTAAAAGTGGAGGATGATGGGGGTCCGTGGGGGTGAGGAGTGAGTCAGTGGTCATTTAGCAGTCTGACAGCCTCAGGAGAGATCTGAGGCTTGATATGTATCAAACACTGCAGAAAACAATGGTATGGTTAGTAATAGAATTGTGATTCACAGTGCCAATATAACTCGCTGAATACTTCACTGATATTGACACTTTCTTTTACTGTATACGTCACACGTGTAGATATAATACAGGACACATAATTTGGTGCACATTAATATTCATAGTTAGTTAATGGTCTCTTCTGATATATGACTACTGCCATAGCTGTTTGGAATGTTTGAAACATTAATATTGTTAACATATCATGGCTGCTTTCAGATGCCTAAGAAAGCGAATTAGCGACGCGCTATTATTCACTTTTCCATTTGTCTCTGCAACTATAATTTTATGATTTGCTGTTTATAGGCCTTGGTACTGGTTCTAGACATTCTGTGAAGAAGCAGAACTGGTCCACTTCGTCTTTTGTCAACAAGCCTTGTAAGTGGGTCATTCCACCAGTGTCTCCAGACAAGAAGGTATGTACCAATAAACATTAGTTTTATAAATATAAAATGTTTTTACTTTCTTTGTATACACTTTTTTTCTTTTCTTAGTTTGCCTTTGTTGTTGGAAACTCCCATCTGTGTGCGATCATAGATGGGTTTGTGCCTATGCCAGAACATGTGCAGGGAATTGTCGTCACAATTCGCTTGTGATGTCTCACCTTTGGATCGAAAGCCAGATGTTGTGTGTGTCCTTGCTCCTTGCAATAATATGACAGCCAGAAAGACGGTTACAGACGCTGCATCAGAGTTTGGCAGACTCCTCGACGTTGTGCGCAGCCGCTGGCAAAAGGTCTCAGCATTTGTCTGTTAAGTCATTATATTTGTATTGTTCTTTAGACATTATATTTATTCAGCAATGTTTTACACAGGTTTGTGTTTTGGATTTTCCGCCTCGTCTGACGTTAGAGGTGGAAGTTCAACAGGCTTTTAGAGAAGAGTTTTGTCGTGTGGCAGCTCGCATGGGTAAGAAGAATATAATATATAGGCTTCAAAGTCATATTTCCAGATGTGAATGTGCCCTAAAAATGGCTTGGTATCTGTCTGTTTTCACATGAATCAGCTACTTCCATGTGGCTGAGCACTTTCGGATGGACAGAAAGTTGTGGTGCTGGGATGGTGTAAGTAGTTGTTTACATAACCTGTGTGTAAAATAATACCTATATTTACATTCTATTCTATTCTAGTATACATTCTATTACAAATACACTCACCGATTATATATTGTGACACAAGTTGTACTTTAAAGGAGCAATATGTAAAAATCTGGCCAAAAGTGGTACTGCAGTCACAGTCAATATTTTGTAGTCCTCTCCCACTCTCCCTGACTCAGGTTGCCAGATTCACACCAAATCCAGCAGCAAACACAGGGAATTATTTTATCAGTTGTTTGTCCGTCTCCATTCACATTGCCATGACAGCCGTGCTAATGCTGAATGAATGTTTTGATTCATGTTTTTTTATTATTATAATTTGCACATTTGAGATAAAAAACAAAAACAAAATAAAAGCAATGTAATTATACATAGTTTATGCAAAATAAATAAGAAATTGATGTCCAAAATAGGAGTGGGAAGAATGGATGTTGGAACGTATTTCTTCAGTGTATCAACATCAGGGTTTGCTCAAGAGGATATCACCTTTCAATTTTATTTATTCCCTATTTTTTAGACAAACATGTATAAGTCCCACATCAAAAAGAGACAGACATTATTTTAATTGGGGTACATGTGGTCTTAAATGATTATTTTTACAATTAAGCTTTAATCTGCAAAAAAACGTCTTGACCTTCATCTTTTACCGTTTTTAGAGCAATCTGTCATAGAATGTGATAACATGCAATAAATACAAAAAGACATAGCCCGGGATCGAACCCGGGCTCCTGCATCGTAAACGCACAGTTTAGTCCACTAGACCACCGATTCACACGAATAGAGACACTGTGAAGAACGGAGTCAAACTAGAAAATTCTGCATCACACGTAAACTTTTATCAGCGTCTCAATTGTTCAAAGGCATCCCGATATAAATCCTCGTTTTAGTCTTTGTTTTGTCATTAATTATTTGAGAGTCATAACAAGACCTTTTTTAGTTCTGCGGCCACATGTTATTTTACCACTGAGATTAGTGAGCCGCGCGGAGTTCTGGCAACCCGATCACGGACTTACATGACACTTCCTGATTGGCAAAACGGCGGAGGGTAGGACATCAAAATCAAAACAATAACAACTTTTACGGGTCGTAAAACTAATTTTGATATTCAAATATCTCGGCTGAACTACTGTTATCAGTTAAAGATGAATTCGAAAAGAGTATGATTTAATAACGCCTTTTGAAATATTCGGGTCATTTAATGATGACTTGACATGCAAATATTACATATTGCTCCTTTAAATTGGGGCTGCAACAATGAAGTGAAATCTACAATAGTTCATTATTGATATGTTGTGTTGCGTGGTTAATGTCACACATGATTTTGCGGAGCTCACAAGAGTTGGGCGCATTCTTGTACAGTTGTGTTCATTATAATTGTTAGTTGTAGCCCTATTTCAAATGAGCTCACCTAGCTTGAATGTTGATAACATCTTTTTTGGTACTAATCTGTCATTTTGCTATAGGTCCATCTGAGTGACAATCATAGGATGGCCATCTACGCTGAGCTGCTCAGTCAGGCCTGCTCCCAGCAGCTTGAAAAGGAGGTTCCTTCCATTGTGGTTCCACCCTCCCCATCTAAATCGTACACCTGGAGGTATAAGCCAAAAGTGGTTGTGGTTGGCCCTGAGCCATCGCCATGCACTCCCCCTCCTGAGTGGACAGTTGTTGGACAAGGCCGAAAGGTGAGGACACTAAGTGTTTTGACACAAACTCACGGATAAGTTTGTGGAATTAGGAAGCATTGTCAACACACACAAAATGTTATTTTTGTGTCTGACAATCACTTCTGTGTTTGAAAGACTGAATGTATAAGCAGATTGAGAAGACGTTACTTCCTGGTTGTAAAACATGTAGTGATGGCAATGGGTTATATGCACGGGGAGGCGTGACTTCATTTCCTGTTAACAAAGATCAGACCGTTCACTTCCTGCCTATGCTATTGCTATGGCTTTTAGTGACATTTTTTAGTAATTAGATTGATGCATTCAGCTGTGAAACTGACCCAAATGTGTCGCTGTGCTTTCTCTCTGAGGTAGAGCTTTGACTGTGGCCACTCAGAGATTAGTTCACTTTATAAAAGCACAATGACAGCACAATCAAAGAGCACTGCTGTGTCCCAAAAATGCCCAGTATCCTCAGTTTAATTCCCGTTTGAGCATTATTTAGGAAACTCGTGTAATCATCTGCTGAACTCCAGTGAAACTCAAGCCGTTCCCCGCGCACAGGAAGTCAGATTCAGATTCAGTTTATTTGCCATTTGCAGTAAAAAAAACACATTGGAATACATTAGCAAAAGTCTCCAGGGTGCACAGACAAATACAGACATAAAACAACATTAAAAGACAGAAATAAAACAAATAAAACAGTAAACAAAAGTCACTGTGAAATGGATCGACTAAAACAGTTTCAAAACAAGTGCAAATCATTAAAGTGCTCTGTTCACACTGATAACAGCCTGTGGATAAAAACTGTTAGCGTAACGAGATGTCCTGCATCTCAGAGAGCGATATCTTCTGCCAGAGGGAAGAAGCTGGAACATGGCTTTCCCAGGGTGGCCAGAAGAGTCATTAACAATCCTAAGAGCTTTGTTTAAAAGTCTGAATTTATAAAGAACCTCCAGAACAGGAAGCTCACAGCCCACGGTCCTCTTTGCAGAGCGGAGCACCTTGTTTAAAGCTCTCTTTTCTTTATCTGTGATGTTTCCAAACCACACAGACACAGAACCAACAAGTAAACTCTCAATGGTGCAGCGATAAAAGTTAAGCACAATCTTAGAGTTAGTGGTAAATTCTCTAAGTTTACGCAGAAAGTAGAGACGCTGACGAGCTTTCTTAACGACTCGGTCAGTGTTTTTAACCCATTTCAGGTCGTTAGACAGAGTTAAACCCAGAAACTTGCTCCTCTACGATCTGCACCTGGGAGTTGTCGATTACGACAGGCAAATGAGAACTATTGCGACTGAAGTCGTAGACCAGTTCACATGTTTTGGATGCGTTCAACTGGAGGTTGTTAGTTTGACTCCACTGAACCACATTTTGTATCTCTGCTCTATAAGAGGATTCATCATTGTCACTGATGAGACCGATGATGGTGGTGTCATCAGCATATTTAATGATCAAGTTTGAGTCAGAGGAGGACACACAATCGTGAGTGTACAAAGTAAAAAGCAAAGGACTCAAAATACATCCCTGAGGAGAACCAGTGCTCACAGAAACAACATCAGAAAAACACTCTCTGAGATCTGTCAGTTAAAAAGCTAAAAATCCATTTACACATGGCAACACTTAATCCGAGAGACATGAGCTTTTCAATCAGTTTACCTGGGACAAGGCAGTTAAAAGCAGAGCTATAATCGATGAAAAGCATTCTGGCCACAGATTTACTAGTGTCCAAGTGACTGTAGACAGAGTTCAGAGCAAAGGAGATGCATCCTCCACACTCCTGTTCTGTCTGTAGCAAACTGGAGCGGGTCAACACTCACAGGGATCTGGCTCCGAATGAAGTCCAGCACAAGCCGCTCAAAAGTTTTCATAAGAACAGACGTGAGGGCCACAGTACGATAGTCATTCAGGCATGTCACAGGAGTTTTCTTAGGAACTGGAATGATGGTCGACTCTTTAAAGCAGTTCGGCACAGTACAGTTCCTTAGCGACAGGTTGAAAATGTCTGTTAGCACAGGGGCAAGTTGCTCAGAGCACAGTTTCAGGACACGAGGAGGGATGCCGTCCGGGCCTGGGGCTTTCCGGACTGTGGTCCTGGACAAGACACGCCTGACTTCCTCCTGAGTCACGGTGAAGGTACCTTGATTGAAACACTCAGAGAATACAGTAGGACAGGCATCAGCGGATTCAAAGCGACAGTAGAACGTGTTCAGCTCGTTTGGCAGAGCTTGGCCGACAGATGCAGTTTTCCCAGCACAAGGTTTCCACGATGTGATGGCTTTAATACCGTTCCACATGCGCCGAGGGTCATCTTCCTCAAAATAACTCTTTAACCTGTCCCCGTAACTGCGCTTTGCAGATTTAATAGAACGTTTCAATGAGTAACAGGATAGCTTATAAGCAACTGTATCGTTAGATTGAAACGCCAACGCACGCTCATGAAGTTTCAGTTTCACTTCCGCGTTCATCCAAGGGTTTTGACTAAAATGTTCTTTAATGACCTTCTGTGGGACACAGCAGTCAATACAGAAGCGTATGTATCCAGACACAGCGTCACAGAATTCATTGACGTCCTCTGACTGAAACACAGACCAGTCCGTAGCATCAAAACAACCTTGTAGCTTCATGCTAGCCTCCTCAGACCAACACTGCACAGTGCGAGAGGTTGGTTTATGTTCCCTGCTCCTCTGAGTATACGAAGGAAGAAGGAGAAACAGAGGAGTGGTCAGACTTTCCAAAAGGAGGTCTGAGACTGGACCTGTAAGCTCCCTTCACGTTACTGTAGCAGTGATCCAGAACATGTGCTCCTCTTGTAGCTTGAGTCACATGTTGGTAAAAGTTCGGGAGTACAGACTTTAAATTACATTTATTGAAATCCCCAGCAACAATGATGACTGCGTTAGGATGAGCAGACTCATGTTTGTGAAGGATCTCGCTCAGATCCTGTAGGGCTACTTTGTAATCCGCCCGTGGGTGAATGTAAACAGCACATAAAAATATCACTGAAAACTCACGGGGAAGATAAAAAGGGCGGCAGCTCAAGACCAGGCATTCCAGATTGGCAGTACATGTTTGGTTCACGATTCGAGTGTCCGTGCACCAGCGCTGATTAATTAAAAAGCACACACCTCCGCCTCTGGCCTTGCCCGTGGTCTCCTTCACTCTGTCCGAGCGGTGAGCGGTGAATCCCGGGGGCTGAACAGCAGAGTCCGGGACGTTCGAGTGGAGCCACGTCTCGCTGAGGCAGAACACAGTCCCGGGCCTCGCGCTGGCTCTGGACCCGACACAGGAGCTTGTCCGTCTTGTTGGGAAGAGACTGGACGTTGGCCAGGTAGATGGAGGGCAAAGGGGTCCTGGAGGAGCGGCTACGAACGAGCAGACCACCTCGCCTTCCCCGGTGTCTGCGCCTCCTTCGCCGACTCGAGGTGCCCAGCTCCACACCGCGGAGAGAACGCCGGAGACGCCCAGTCCCCCCGCTCTGTTGGCGGCCACCGCCGCGGCCCGCCTGCCGTGCTCCACCAGCCTCTCGAGTGGGACACTCGAGGAAGTTTGTGCACCTCAGTTCAGGTAAAACGAGTGACCCGTCACCCGCGTGGTCCCGAATGTGCAGAAGTGTTTGCCGATCATATTTCACTGTGGCAAGTGAATCCCAGACGAAAAACAACAAAACACAGATTGTGCGCACCAGAGCGTTCACTGCGGCGCCCTGACACGGCGCCATCTTGCTAGTCCTCATGCTCTCTCTCTCTTTCTCTTTAGTGGGGTTGCAACTAAACCGCTGAAGTGGTGCGTGCATAGAGCCCATATGAAGCATTGAGGGTTTGCAGCCTATTACTCGGCCCATGGTTCGAAGTGTCGAGGTGATTCATGCTCCACTACGCCATCATGTGTGCAAAAGAATTTACCACTCTTAAGCGTTTAGAGTCTCAGCAAGAAGGTCCTGGGTTCGAATCCCGGCCGGACCAGGGCCTTTCTGAGTGGAGTTTGCATGTTCTCCCCGTGTCTGCGTAGGTTTCCTCCGGGTACTCCGGTTTCCCCTACCACTAAAAATATGTACAATAGTTCTGGCATGTGCCTCCTGTACTGGCCCCGCTCCCGTCTCTGTGTGGAGTGAGAGACAAATGCCCAAAAAATAACAATTGTAAACCGCTTTGAGACTCTGGTCTGTGAAAGGCGGTATATAAATAAAGCTTGCTTACTTACTTACTTACTTACTTACAATTAATGGTGGGCTCTAGCGTTAATATTTAGTCTATGGTCTAAGCCAAATGATGCTTCATGAACTATGAACTATTGTAGGCTTTCAATCAATTGTGTTGATACAACAAACGTATTGGATTCAAAGCAGTTCTACAAAAACAACAATCCAACATTTAATTGAGGAAAAAAAAACATTAGTTGGATTCATTGAACACAATAAACCATTTTATTCCCAGTAATTAAATATATTGATTGATTTGCAAATACAAAACTGAGTCAAGTGGGATTAGAACCAGATATTTTCAACATCATAGTCTAGCAACTACAGACTACGCCACGAATCTACTAAGTATGTAAGTAATTAGTGTTTCAACGTATTATAAACTTGAGTAAAAGTAAAACATCGTGACATGAAGGCATCTGGATATATGAAATTGAGGTTTTACTAAAGTGAAACATTTTTAATAATATTTCATGTGAAGTAGATTTGGTATACTTAAAGGCACACCGCGGACTTTGTGACCTAAAGAGTTGACACATATGAGTTATTTTATATGAATACTTGGGCCAATATACAGCGCTTGACACTTGCAATGCTCCGAGCGGGGCTGCCCTCTTGAAAATACCGCCCATGTAAGTTTCGAGCAGACGGACCGTCTGCCACCAGGTCACGTGACTTGGAAGAAAGACTTGCTTTACGGCTACAGGCGCTGATATACTCATGGAGCTAAGGCTTTTGCTACTCATTTTTCACCTGCTCGACTCCTGGTCATGGCTGAGGCAAGGAAAAATTTTAAACCTTCGGAGGAGGCTAAAAAGAGGAAACGCGAAAGGGATCGTGCTGTAAGCTGCATGTCTGTATGAGCGCTGCTCTTCACCTGGTTCCTGGATGTCATCGACTGCAAAGATGTCATTCCACGCAGCACGAGCTAGACGCAGAACTCCCTCATCCAGGATATAGAAGTCCATGTGTGGTAGATTACTAATGCAGCGGTCTGGAGGCTGACCACAGCAGAGTCTCTCAATATCTGTAGGCATGTCTCTACAGTTTGAACACACACACCAGTGCATGCTGTCTGAATACACACTCAAAAGACACCGGCTGACTGTTTGTTGACTTTTGCGACAGTGCTGAGTTGCTTGTGGCCACTAGGGGCGCTAAACGTGAAAGTTGCAGGTCTAGCGCCCCTAGTGGCCAAGAGTTACACGGTGTGCCTTTAAGTACAGGACTGCTCCACATCACGCACACACACATGTACGCACACACAAAAAGACGGGTATTCACAAAAAAGGTATTCTAGCCCTCACTTACCTAGGACAAATATGGCTATAAGCTAATTTCTTATAAGCTAATTTTTCTACAACATGTGTTGTAAACAAGAAAAATATAATTATTCATGAAACCAAAATAAATGTTGGTCCTCCAGCTATAAGAAACCTTATATTAGCATTTAGCATTATAGTTAATGTGAAGAATGAGTTAGAGGTGAGAGATTGGATCCATGTTTTGCAGGGTACTCAGTCTTTAAATGTGTACAGTTATTACCGAACAGGAGTATAGCAAAGTCATGTTAATGTTTATGTTACAGAGGAATTGGCCATGGACCTCTACGCACACCCGGCGATCTCCCAGAGGTCCACGGCTGGTTCAACCGGTGAGGAACACGCCTATCCCACCGCTTTTACCTACAATGTTCAGCGAAGCCAATATGCTCAAGGTGGAAAAGGTCTATCCATCTTGTCTGGATGATTGTTCTTCAACGGAAGAGGTATTAGGATTTCATGTTGACTCTACAAGGAATCTTATAATGTATTTTAAATTACTACATTATCTTTTTCTTTTGAAAGACTCCTCTTCTGAGGAGTCGGAAACCTGCTGCCCGACAGAGAAGACACCGACGCCAGAGGGTGGTCAGGGCAGCAGCTGGAGAAGTGACCCACTCATCACTACTCACTGAACAGCCCGGGATAGGGGAGCAGACGGTGAGTGACATTGAAACTACAGTCTGGTTTTTTCAGAGTCGGCCCTGATGAAGAAAATGTATATGGTCAATTTTTAAGCCTTGGTCCCGCTCTTATCGAAATCTAGAAAGGTCAATTTGTCTATAGGTGTAATCTGGTTATATCTTGAATTATGTAAAAAACAGTGAAAATTAAAGCCGCAAGCGGCGTCGAAACGGCCCTCGCCGCACCGCGCAAAGGAGGTGGCGCTAACGCGCCACTTTCCCACTGCCCTGACGGAAGCGACACTGTGCCTTTTGAATGCCTATGATCAGTGATTGTATGTCTCTGTTGAAAAGGTATACCTTATTCTCCCCATGCAACACTATACTCAGTCTGTAGGGGGCGCTAATGCAGCAATTTCATGATTCAGACTTTCAGTTTACTCAAACCCGAGAGTGGAACAGTCAATTCAAATTTTGTGCAAATCGGACTCTGTATGTACAAACGGAAGGCATTTATGTTGTACAACAGCGCCCCCTACAAATAAAAAAAAATTGTGTTATTCTAAAGAACACCAAATACTAATACATTTTGTGCCTGAAAAAAACTTGTGGCAAAGTTTGCTGAGTTTTTGTGTGTGTGATCAGTGGGTCAAAAATGAGATCAAACAACAGAAAACCTAAATACCTGTATCCCCATGTAAACCTTTACTCAGCCTGTAGGGGGCGCTAATCGGCCAATTTCATTGTTCACACTGTCATGTGACCTAGGCCCAGGAGTTGAACAACAGTCAAGTTTAGTGCAAATCAGAGTTTGTAAATGTGCTCCTGTTTACACACACAATCTGTGAGTCTCCATTGGATAACATGGGAGCTTCACACCTCTCTATGAAAATAACCCCACTTTGGGAGTTTGTTACGCGCAGACCGTTTGACTAATTCAAATTCTATATTGAACTATTGATGGTCCATGTGTTGAGACCATGTGGAGCGATTTTCAGCCAAATTAGTGAAACGGCCCGCGGCTGGTTTGATGTTTGAGCGAGGTGTACTTTTCAGAGATTTAACAATTTTCCCATAGACACAGACAGGGGAGTGTTGGTCGTCGCCACGGCAACAGGGTAAAAAATAACCATATGTTGACATTGACTTTTTGAATCCAGATGACAAAACAGAATTACTGTATGTGCAAAATTTCAAACAATTTGAAAAAACTACATTTTATTAGGCCCATGTATAACTTTGACAGTCTGTAGGGGGCGCTAATGAGTCAATTTCAATAATTCCACTTTCAAATGACCTAGACCCTGGAGCTGAACAATGGATTAAAATTTTGTGCAAATCCGGCTTTGTTTGTGCAAACCGGAGCAAATTTACTTTTGTCAAAAATTGGAAAAAAAATGTCACATTTTGCCGCTCCGCTGCTTGGACAATGTTTAACTTGATCCAAATTCTATATTCAATAATTGATGGTACATGTGTTTAGAGCATGTGGAGCAATTTTGAGACAAATCTGTGAAACGGCCGAGGAGGAGATGATTTCCAGCCGACATGTGTGAAAAATATAAATTTTAATTTTTCCATTTCCCATTGAAATTAATGAGCTCCCTGTTTGTCGTGTGATTACGGTGGCCCCGCCTTTTTTCCAGGGGCTTGGGTGGCCCGCTACCCAGTCTCGAGCGCTCCCACGCTCTACTCCTCCAAAAGGGAAAAGTGCGGTCCCTCCAGGGTTTTGCCCGGCCTTTCCGTTGCGGCCCCCAAAACCTCCTGCTCAGGAAGGGGGGAGCCCACGTGGACATAATAAACTAAAACCACTTGGGACTATGGGTTAAGGTTTTTGGTTATAAAAATTAGTTTCTGGGGACCATGGAGGGGAAATTTCAAAATTATTTGTCATCCTTTTTTTCTAAATGTCAATTTGATTTTTATGTTGCAAAATCAACTGGGGGAGGATTTTACAAGGGGGAAAAGTATTTCAGGCTCGGGTGCGCGGGACAGGCCAAATCAAGGACCTGGACAATGTTGCCAGGGCTGTTATAAAAGGCACAGCCACTCACTGGAAGGTTTTGCCGGGTAACATGGGCCAGGAAGGGTGGCGGGCCTGGATCTGGCTGGGACCGGGTGCCTTCAGGGTTCCTGGAAAAAAAAACCGCCTGGGGGACCCCCAACTGCGGGTGGGTGAGTTTATTAGTCTTGCTATTCTTTTGGATGGAAGGAATTAGGTTAAAAACTCGGGCATTTTGTTTAATAATCACTAAAATTGTGGGTCCAAGAAAAATTTGGCCATTTTAGTTAGGAATTTTCTTGTGAAAAGTGAATGGGGATAGATTAAAAAAAATTCTGGAAAGAATTTATATGTGGGTAACCTGTCGTTTTTTTTTTTACACAGTTTTTACCCCACGTTTTTAAAACCTGGTGGCCAAAAAAGGGGTACAAGAAGGCACCACGATTGAAAGAAAAAAAAACATGGATTTACCAAAGTGTAATTCTTGTTTTTCCTGCGGCAATGTGAGCAGGGCGCTTTCCCGGCGGCCAGGGGAACCGCCTGAGGCGGAAAAGCTCCTTCCTTAAAATCATTTGAAACTATGAAGGCTCAGGGCGGAATCCAGCGGGGAAAGTGCCTTGTTCCACAGGCCAAAAAAGGTCCTAAAAGAAAAAATCAGGGGGTCAAGGTTCAAGGCTTTCCTGTTCTTATATGGGGTAACCACACTTGGCTATACTACTTACTACTACTTACCTTACTACTACTTTTATTGCTGGTGATTGCTTATACTACTGGGCTTACTATGATAACACTTATTACTATAATATACTTACTATATAGTAACTAAATTTTATTGACCAGTACGAACAAAAAAATTGTGAAAAAATGGTAACAACAGGGTCCAAAATTAGGGATGTTGGGTTTTCACTTTAGTGGTTACGGCCAGTTCCATTCTTTTCACAGGTCCCGCACCAGCTGGGGACGCCGCAACCGACTGCGGGACGTTTTTTTGGGCCAGGGCCCAAAAAACCGGGGCCATTGGGCCAAATTTCTCGGTTGTAGGTACATTTGGAATTTTTTTTTTTTTTTTCATTTTCATTCCAAGAAAAGTTGTTTGTTTCCGGCTTAATACCTCGTGTGTTGTTTGGGTTGTTAGGGGCCCGAGAGGATCTTTGAAGAGGGGCATTTGGCCTGTGCCATTTTGGGGTAATTTTTTGGCTATGTTTTACCGGGCCCATCCTCAAGGCCCACCGGGCGGAGGTCTTCCCCAAACACCCCCAAGGAGTCGGTGGGAAAAAATTTTGCCGCTCCTGGAAAAGTAAGGAATAAAACCCCGGTTCCAAGTGTTAGTTTCAGTTCATATATTATTTTATTAACTCTTTATGTTTTTACCATTCAGAAAGTAATTAGGATAAAGGTTGTTAAATATTATTAGCGAAGTTGTGGTTTTTCGTTATTTGCCAAGGGTCCTCTTAAAAAAATAAAAACACTACTTGTACTCCACCCCCTCCACTGGGGTTCATCCATAAAAAAACCACAGGTCTTCATAAAACACAGGTTCCTCACCCAAAAAAAAAGCAATTGGCGCCTCAAAAACACCAAATTCCAGGATTTTTTTTCATGCTATGGACTTGCTTTCCCAAACTTCACAGGGATGTTTTCATTCTATGACTGTGTTAAGGTCCTCATAAAAAAAAAAAAAAAACCACTGGTCCTTTTCATTAAAAAAAAAAACCCCACACGTGTTTACTCACACACAGGTCCTTCATAAAACAGAAACTTGTGCTTCATAACACACAACTTTGGTACCTCACCACCCACTGCGGGTTTTTCTTTCATTAAACCACCTGGGTCTCATTAAAAAAAAATTTGTACTCAAACAACACCAAAGGGTAGGTCTCTTTTTGGCCGAATAAAAATTTGGCCGCTTAGGGAGAGTTACAATTTTGGGCAAGATTGTAGCTTTGGGTTTCGGTTGGCGATTACCGGGAAGAAAATGGAAGAACAAAAAAACAGGGGCTGAAGTTTCTATTTTCCCCACGCTGGATTTTGATCCATTTTCAAAAACAGTTTTTTGGTTTGGTTTTCCCCCCAAGGGTGGGGGAAACGGTACCACAAAAACTATTGAAATATAAAAAATACAAGTCGGGGCTGGCGGTCTATCCTGCTCGGATCGGGCAGGGAGTTTCGGGGGGGACTGGGGCCTCCCGGGCCCTCTGGGGCACCACCGGGGGGCTCGTTTTTGCCAAGGAGGAGTGCCAGGCGGGGCCAATTTTCCCTTTTTTCATTATTAGTTCTGGGGCCAGCTTGAAAGCCCCCCCACGGGCTCTGAAATTGAAAATTTAATATAGGGGGGGCCCTGGTCAGCCGGCGGGCGGGACTGAAAGGCACGAATCACTTTTTCAAAAAACCAAGGGTCCGGGAAAGGCAGCCAGCGTGGGCCAACACAGGTAAACATCTTGATTTCATGCGTGGAATTGGGACTGCCAGTGGTTGAATTGTGTTTTTTTTTGTTGTTTATTTTTTCATGTTTTTGGTTTGTAAGGCCATATGGGGACAGCTCCCACAGAAAAATGGAGCGGGGCGCGAGGGTGGCCAGTGCCCATTTTGTTTGCCATGGGGGACCTCCTGGGACCCCGGCCTCAAAAAAATTTTTAATTGTTTGGCCCCCTTCCCCAACGGGACCAGGGGGCAGGCTCCTTGAGAATGGAGGCCCTCTGGTCTTGGCCTCAAAAACACCCAAAGGGCCCAGACAGGGGGCCCACAACAGGTGTCTGTTAGTCCAGCGCTCTGGAGGTCAGAGGGGGACTTGGAAAGCGGGTGTACCCAGGGACCTGCCGACCTTCCTCTGGTCTGAGCTTTTGCCCAAGGGCTCCATGAAAGCCTAAGACCCCTCCAGCCAGCGGGACGGACCCCTCCAGCCTTGAGCGGGAAAACCCCTTCCTAAACCAGAAAGCAGGATTAGGGCCCAGAAAGCCTTGGAGCCGGAGGGGCAGATGCTGATGGGTC